GTGTCTCGGATTTCTCTTTAGGCTGCATCAGTGTGTGAGTGTGTGTGTGTGTGTGTGTGTGTGTGTGATAGAGAGAGAGACACACACACAGAAACAGACAGACAGGTGCATTGTGGATAGCTTCTACTGTGTGGTTATCATATTTGTATTATAACAGCTTCATTTATTCATGGGAGATGAGAGCTGGTGTTTGAGAAATGTAAAGTGAATGTTTGCTTTCCCCTCTTGCTTGTGTAAATGTCAAAAACAGTTATGGACAACCAACAACTGTAATAATGATACTGCTTTTAGGACATTTATTCCTTTACTCCAGATTTTGGGAATACATAATAATAAACAATGAATAATAATATATCCTAAAAACCTTGCAAGAAGAATGCTATAAGACAAAGACTTTGAAAAGTGCAATCAAATGTGAATTATTTGTATGCAAACTGTAAACAGACCATTAAAACATTTTATAAAGGAATTTTGTTTTTTGGTTTTATTTATTTTTCATCTTTTCAAATATCTTTCAATTTTTCTCCTATAATTTGACACCTAATGAAATGTATTAAAAATACAATTTATGGAAATGGCATTTATATGGAAAGTAGTTTGTAAAACTTTATCTTATCCAATCCCAAGTAATCAATCACTAAGTGCTTTAAAAAAAAGAGCTTCTGGGGCCTCCCTGGTGGCACAAGGGATTAAGACGCAACCTATGAAGCTACCTGCAGCCACACAGCACAAGTTCTATCCCCCGCCAGGGAGAAACCCACATGGCGCAGCAGACCTCACCTGACTCGCCCACTTCTCCCCTCAGCAGTGCATATCAGTCAGTCTGCCTGTTCTGATCCACACTGTGTCTTTGGTGAATTCTCTCACCCCCCCAGCACCTCTGGCCTGTACTCCAGTTCTTGTATGCATAAGTAAATAAATCTTTTTTTTTAAAAAAAAAAGAGCTTCTGGTTTACTTTGACAGAAAATGTACGGGTGCATGCACAAAGATGCAAGGTTTGTGATTCTAATCAAACTGGAGGTTATTACATTAGGACTTGTTTTCCCTTGATGCAAAGTGACACTGAAAATGCAGTACTTATGCAGAAAGGGGGGCAAGACATACACCATGTCTTCCCTTCCTCCCATCCAGGCCCCAATCAATCTTAAGTCATTGCTAGAATTTGCCAGGCATTGAAATAGAACTTCAAAGGGGAAGAGACAGGATGGCAACTCCTCCTAAACTGAAGGAGCAGAACAGATAGAGTTCCCAGTAGTTGGGTGACTGAGTTCTCAGCCAGAGGGCAATCGGCAAAAGGATTACTTGGTGGCGGAGAGCTGTCTCTCCCCTTTTCATCACCTTTCCTCAGCCTCGGCCAACTGCAAATGGAAAACTGTGATGAGGACACTGTACTGCCAACGGGGATGGTGAGAGGGGAATCACATCTTTGTCTCAGACCCTCAGCTGGTATAACATATGTAAAGACGTCAAGTTCTCTTCTTCTCACACCATCCCTCATTTCCCTGAATGTTCTTTTTTTTTCAATGACTCTATTCTGCAAGGTTGCACTGATATTTTCAAGAAAGGCATAGCAATTTGTATCTTGCCAGACTTGGTGCGCCTAGAGAATGTCAGTTAGGGCTATTTAGTCACCAGACTTCTCTTTGATGCTCTTCTTACACACAACCAAATCATAATTTGAGACCGTGTTGCATTTCTACTTTAGGAATGGTACCCTGGAAGGAGCTGGTCTCCTCACTTGAGGCTGGCCCCGCAGTCTGGACTGTCTGTTCAGGACTGCCTCAAAGCCAGTTCCCATGAATGAATCTCCTCACCAGCAATCTGAGATTCAGGTCTGAGGCAAGTCAAGAGAGAGGTTTCAGTAATCAGCATCTCCAACTTGGGGAAAGGCTCCTGCTCTCAGCAGAGATCTTGTGAGTGCTTTTGGCAGGGTGTGCACATGTAAAAGGCTGCCAGAAAAGACGGCTAGCCGAGAATGTGCTGCTGTGCTTTCTTCATCTGCACACTCTGTGGCAAATTCTGCAGCATGCACTGGAAACTTAATGCATTTTGTTTATGCTTGCATATACCACTGATTCGTGTAGTGGAACATGGATTTAAAAATCCACAGAGTGGGGCATCCCTGGTGGCACAAGGGGTTGAGACACAGCACTGTGAAGCTATCTGCAGCCACTGCAACACGAGTTCGATCCCCAGTCTGGGAGATGACCCACATGGTGCAGCAGACCTCTCCTGTCTCACTCGCTGCTCCCCTGAGTGGTGTATTTCAGTGGATTGGCCTGTTCTGCTTCCCACTCTGTCTCTGGTGAATCTTCTCACCCTCACACCTCTGGCCTGTACCCCAGTTCTTGTATGCATAAATAAATAAATCTTTTTTTAAAAATCACAGAGAATTCCAAAGTTAATTTTAGTTATTGCTTCATTGTCCAAACCTCAGGCTAACTCTTACGTGACCTGGTGGGATTGGGTATGAAGAGCTTCAGACCAGTGAAGCCTGTTGAATACTGACATGAATCATAAGGGAGGGAGTTATTCCCTCTGGGAGAAACATGGAAACCTACATCTCACCAAATGGTCTCCAGGTAATGCTATTTGATAAAGGAATTTGGGCAACATCCTATGATACCAGGGATTCTTTAAGTTCTATACTGTCAGTCTTTGCTGTCCTGCTTCTTCCCTTCCTTGTTCATGCACAGGGAGGAAGAAAGAAGCAAAGACATAGCAATATATATTTGGAGCAGTGCCGCAGTGGTTAACTGCAGTCTCTGCACCTGGGTGGCCTGAGTTTGCATCCTGGCTCTGCCACTCACAAGTCATGTGTCTGGGCAAATGGTTTCTCCTTGGTGAGCCTCCGTTTTCTTTCATGTAAGAGGAAATGCCAATAATAAATAAAACATGGAATTGTTGTGAGGCTTAAGTAAATAACCCCTGGAGCAATGCCTGGTACATGACAAACAATAACATCAGTTGCTATTGTCATCACACATGGTACAATGCCATCACAAGACCCCTTCCTTCTGGGCAAAAAGCGGTAAAAAATTCTTGAAATGCTCATGAGCTACTTCACAGTTACCAAAATGATAGGAAGAGGGAATGGGTAAATCTAAGCCATGCTCTGAGTAAGGTCCCTGACTCCCCAACTCCTGAGACTCTTATCTGAATGATATGTCTCTCATGTTATAATAAGGGTCAACATTAAACTAATATTTTTATGTTTCAACAATTGACAAGGGAATTTTGATAATAACACACAATATCTCTCTCGGGCACTTGAGTAAAAGACACATGTATCTATGGTGTCAAGAGAAAATGATTGATTGCTTATCTTTTTTTTGTCTACTGATGATTTTGGTTTCATTGTTGAGCTTATTAAAATGTAAAATAACCTGGGGCCTCCCTTGTGGCACAAGGGGTTAAGCACTGCAATATGAAGCAATCCGCAGACACTGCAGCATGAGTTCGATCCCTGGACGGCCAGGGAGCTACCCACATGGTGCAGCAGACTTCTCCTGGCTCACCAGTTGCTCCCCTCAGCAGTGTGTTTCAGTCAGTCTGCCTGTTCTGTTCCCCACTCTGTCTCTGGTGAATCCTCTCACCCCTCTGCATATCTGGCCTGTATCCCAGCTCTTGTATGCATAAATAAATAAATCTTAAAAAAAACACAAGAAATGAACAGTTAAAATATAACACTAAATCTTAAAAAAATATAAAATAACCAATATTTTTAAAAATGCATTTTAATTTACAATTCTACTGTCCTAAGAGTTGAGAATTTAAGAAGTAACAACTGTTCTTTTCTAGAGAATAATAAATGTGTATGTCACTGAATGGTGTACAGTAGTGCTTTCTGCACCTTCTCTGATTCTCCAGGTCACCTAACTGCTCATCTCCAGGGTTGATGTGAGGTGGAAAGGGGTTAACAGGTTTCACAGCACAGCAAGCACTTTGGAAAAACATAAGCTATAAATATATATGCATATATATAATAAGTAATATTATTTACTGACATCAGGCCATACAACTAGAAATCATTTTATTCTACTGAAGGTAAACTAAGACATTTATTTTCTTTTTATGAAACAACACAGTGACCTTGTAGTAAATAGACATCTTTAATGTTCGTTCCTTCTTCCTCATCTCCTTCAGTTTTGCCCACACACAGACCCCTTGCTCTGTCCCAAGATTAAAGTGACCAATCATGACCATAGAGACTGAGAAAAATATTTGAGGTATTGGAGTCTTCATGGGCATTTCTTCCCCTTGTGGTGATTCCTAGTTTGTCCTGCAGGCAGTTTGGGGTCTTCTGTTGCTTTTTTTTTTTAAATCCAGAGGACAGAGGGAGGGACAGGATTTGTGGGAGAGAAGACTGAGAAGGGTTTCTTCTTTCATCACAAAATGTTCCTTGTAAAAAATATGATATATGTACACACATATATAAAATATATCCAGTGTAATTGCAATTGTTGTGCCAAACATGGGGAAGTACCACCTTGGTCAATGTATTTCTGGAGTTTTAAACAGTTGTCCTACAACAGCTGCATTTCAGTACGACTTGGGCAGGTGGCTCCAGATAAGCCACTTGCCACTCACATTCAGGCTGAGACTTCCATGTTCACAGGCCAGAGGAAAAAAAAGTGTGTCTTTGTGTCTGGAGTGGGTGCTGGAGCCAGTGAGTGGGCAGAAAGGGTGCTGGAAGAAGAAGGAATTAACTTCTTTTTACTTCTCTGCAACAGTTTTTGATGCAAATACAAATACATTTTAAATCTGAGGATATTGACATCAGTAGTGTTAAGACCACACTACTTAATGAAATAATTCACATCAGCATAAAAAATATTCACACCAAAAAGTCTTTTTTTCTTTCCCTCTTTCCAAGAAAACTTCTATCACGGAAGTGCTCTCTCCATAGATATTTCCAGTGATTTGGCCAAAAGTCATTAAACATAATTCAGGGTCTTTGGATCTGCTCTTCGCACAGAAAGAATAACTTTCAGATACTATTTCTGTAGAAGTATGTTTGAGTTTTTTCAACACATGGAGAAGTTTGAAGTCTCTGCCATCCCCCACGGTTCTCATCCATGCAGTGAGAGGCAGAGAAGCTGAGGCTGGGTGGCTGGTCAGAAGAGAAAGGGAGGAGGACCCTGGGGCAGCAGATCAGCTCAGGAGGGACGCACCACAGAGGGAATAACGACGAGCTGCAAACCAAGATCAGAAGCTGTTACAAACCCACTTGATGTCAGCTCAGAGTGTCACCAATTGCGCTAGGCAGAGACCTACTGGGAAGAAGCTGGGCTGGCTAAAACCAGTACAGATCCTTGCTTTTGTCCTGAGGCTGTAAACCTGAAAACCGAAAGAAAAGAGAAAGAAAGAGGGAGAGGAAAAGAGAGGAGAGGAGAGAGAGAGAGGAGAGAGAGAGAGAGAGAGAGAGAGAGAGAGAGAGAGAAAGGATAGGGAGGAGAGGCACAGGATATTTAAGGAAAGAAAGAGACAAACACCATTGTTTTATTGTGGAAGTCACAGAATTCATCTAAAGGGTATGAATGCAAGTAACAGCAAAGTCAACAGAAATGTCAGATCTTCACTGGAGGGAAGGGGGAGTGGGCAAAACTACAAACCAATGATTGCATTTATTCATTTCCCCCCAAAAGCAAGCACAAAAATAAACCCTTCTTTGGATACACCTTTAAAAAAAATCAACTTTTTAAGTCAGAGACTTAATATTATCATTAAAGTCCTACTTTTGCTAAATTCTATGTTTTCAGGAGACCTATTTTATTTGGCAATTAAGTTGATATCAGAGACATGTTTTTCTTTCCTTATGATTGTGGCTAGGTGACAAGATCTCTTCAAGCTGTAGAGGATTTTAAGCTACACCCTTAGCAGGTACTCTAGATCAGCGCTGTCCAACAGAAACTCAGTGGAAGCCACAGGCACAATTCTGAATTTTCTAGCAGCCACATTGAAAAAAATAAATAAAAAGAAACAGATGAGAATTAATCTTAGGAGTATATTTTATTTATCCCAATATATGCAATGTGTTGAAAATATTTCCACATGCAGTCAACATAAAAATATTAGTGAGTTGAATTTTACATTTTTTTTGGTACCAAGTTTTGAAACACAGTGTGCATTATACACTCAGCGCATCGCAATTCGGCCGAGCCACATTTCAAGTGCTCAACACACACGTGGCTGGTGGCTATAGAAATAACAGCGCAGAGCTAGAACCTTTCCAACGACTTTTCTTTGGGGGGGAAAAAAATCCTCCGTAATATTTGCCAACCAGATTAGGGTAGGGTCCTAGTTCTCATTCCACCCACACCAATAATAAAGGGTTTTTTGCCTGATGAAACACAACCTCTCCAAATAGTCCTTCTGACTACAGGGCCACAAGGGTATCGGAGGAGAACTAGGGGCGTCCAGGGCTCAACCCAGGGTCGGGAATGGGGTAGGAGGGGCCGAAGGAGGCCAATCTCCCTTTCCAGCTTACCTGAATCCACGCTGAGGCCCAGACCCTGGGCCACATCCCCGGCGGGGCTAGCGAAGGGCCCCCCAGGTGCAGCCCAAGCAGTGCCAGTCGGCTCACCCTTGGCGGAGAGCTCGCAGGGGGGGCTGCCGGACGCAGGCGCCGGAGCAGGAGCGAGGCGTGCAGGGCGCCCCGAGGTGGCGGGCATCAGCAGCGGCCCATAGCGCGGGTCGAAGTGGGGCGCGTAGACTTCGTGCACCGCGGCTGCTCGTGGATAGGGGGCAGCCTGAGCGCCCAGGGTGCCGCCCAGCGCGTAGGGATGGTGCGGATGCGCGTGGTGCGGGTGCGCATGGTGCCAGGGCTCAGCCGCACCCTGGTGCAGGTGACTGTGCAGCGCGGCAGGAGAGTAGGGGTCGGCGGCGGCGAAGGGCAGCTCTGAGTGCGCGGCGGCCAGCGGACTGCCCAGCGGCGGGGGCACCGGCGCCTGGTACGCGCTGTTCCAGAAGGAGGCGGGGAAGCTACGCTGGCTCATCGGGAAGGAGCCGTCTGCAGGCCCGCGGGGCGCAGGTGTGGAGAGAGAGAGAGAGGAGCGTGTCAGTCTGCGAGGCACGAGCTCTGACCCTGCAAGGCAGGAAAGCTGAACGCGCCCGCAGGCGGAGGCTGGATAACCGCGGCAGGGGGCTGGTAGGGAGGAGCCTTTCTAAGGGGGCTGCAGCCTGTGAGGGCGAGGTCCGGGCATTGCACTATGAAGAACCCTTTAGTGGGGAGGTCCTCTTTCTGGTATTTGCAGATGCTTTTCCAGTGCAGAAACACGGAAAGTGGCTGCAAGAGGAAGAATGGACACACCCACAAGTGCACGTTTGGGGGCGCAGAGAGCTTACCCTGACTCCGGGCAGAGCTGCCTAAGTGAACTCCTGGCAGACAGGCCTCTCTCCCTTTCCCAGCCCGCAGCCTCTCAAGCTAAAGATACCACTTCCCACTCTTGGTCGGTCGCCTAGCAATCTCACTAGCCCCTCTCGCGTTTCAGCCTCCCTTGCTCCAGAAAATGTGCCCCTCCAAGACCTCTCATAGACTGGAAGTCCATTGACATATTTCGAAGTCTTGCTATTATTAGCCTCCTTTCTAGAAACCTTCTTTCAAATATTTTTTTTCCAAGAACTAAAGCAATAGAGTAAATTAGATACGTTAAAAGGACAGCTGTATTATCTGCAGAGGGACACAAGTTAAACGTTTTAAGTGGAACAAAATGTTGCCAATACTACAATATTAAATACTGTACGATACGATACTATTATTATCATTATCTTTGTCAGCATCAATCTTCTGGCTGATTCCTAGTGCCTGAAATTCTAGATCAAATTTGTTGCCTTTAGAGGAGAGGGTGGGAAACACAGGCTTTTAACTCAAGGAACTTTTTTATTGAGCACCTCCTCTGGGGAAGTCATCTACATCACATAGTAGAGAATTTAAAATGCTTTGAAAACACATTCTAAATAGTGAATAACCTTTCATGTTAAAATATTTAGGCACCTGGAGAATAAAAAAGCATCTGTATTTGAAATGAGTGTTCTTAGATCTTGACTAGGCAAGGCTTGTACAAACTGTCAGACTGAACGGTAAAAGGGAGGATGAAGGTATCATTCCCCTCAAAATACAATATCTGTTTTCCTTTTTACAACAAAGTCTTCATTTTTTCAGCTTGGTAAACATCAGAAACTAAGTTAGAGGGAAAGTTTATGGAATAATCATCCCCACCCTTGTCTTGGTAAAAAGGGAGGGGTTGTTTCACAACAGAAGGGAGAGTGATTTCACTTGTTCAAGAAATCAGTGTCCCAGGCTAGATAAAGCAGTGCTTTGAGGGAAGAGTAGAATAACAAAGTGGAAAATGTGTTTGGGGAAAACCCTTAGAGATATTTTGATTGTACTCAAGTTTTCATTTCTCTGTTACTTTACTTGTTTATTGACAGATATTATCTGTTTCAAGATTTCCAAGTAATAAAAAACTGGCAAAGTTCACAGGGAGGTTTAGGAAGACATTCTTCAGTAGGTTTTCTTGGTATGAGGTCTAGGATGCTTTCTTCTGGGGAAAATTTTCAAGAGTTGGTTAAAGGGCTTCTAAGTTGTAGTCGATGTTCCTTCTCCTCCCTGCCTTGGGAGAGTGTTGAAAGCTTCACATCTTCCACGGTATGTTTACATACATTTTTCTGTTTCTGTTAAAGTCACCCCCAGGGATAATTAAGAAGGCAAGTATTATCCTAATTTTAGATACCAGTAAATAGAATGACCTCAAAGAGGTTAAGAAACTTGCCCAAGGTCATATTGCTAGGAAGCAGTGGAACCAACAAGCAAATCCAAACTTTCCAAATCCCAGCACAGTGCTTCTGAAGGTCACTGCTCTACTCTGTCCTACCTCTTCAAGGAGAAATTTTATGTCTATGGCTGTTCCCTGATGCACAGTGTTTTTTAGCTGCATCTCCTTAGGCCCCTGCAGGTGAACCCCAGGCTGAGAGGATTCTCCATCTGCCCTTTCAGCGGAGATCATACTCACCCCGCCAGGACCCAGAGCTCCTCGGTGCTTTGCTGCTTGTACAGCTTGGGGAATAGCTGCTAGGTTGGCTCAGGGCTCTGCTGAAGTGCTCGTCTACCACAGAGCTGATGTCCCCTTGGAAATAGGTGAAGAGGACACAGCGGGAGTTGATGTACTCAGCCTCTGGTGGGCACTCTTTCTCTGGACTGCCTTCCTCTTCTTTTATACTGGCTGGAGTTTGGCTAGAAAAGGAGGAGCTGCCACTGCCGCTGCTATTGCTGGGGCTGGCATTGCATTCTTGGGCTTCCTGCATTTTGGAGTAATAGGCTAGTTTCTGCTCACAGAGAGAAAGAATAGAGAAATTAGTTTCAAAAGAGATGGCAAGTTAGGTTCAGACCACGCTCCCTCATCTGGACTTCTAAGGTACCCAGGGGGCAACTGTCTAAGTCTTGTGCTCTTGACTATAAATCCAGCAGTAGCATGGGTGGCACAGTCAACAAGGCTCCCAACCTGTAACCAAAAAAGGGTGGGCTTTTTGAGAGGCAGATAACCTTCTTGGTGCCTTGGTCTCCAGGGAATTGTTGCCAGGCTACAGAAAAAGCTCTCTAAAGATGTCAAGGTGAAGGTCCCAGAAGATGCTTAAACTGCCCGGTTTTGAGCTGAGTTTAACAGCAGAACTGGGCTCAGGACAGATATATTTTTAAAATTCAAGGGTAAAGGACACCCAAGTCCTGTTAAAACCTGACTCCTGGGCAGATGCACAAGATGCAGGATTAAGCATCCTCAAGATGGAATATGAAAATACCAAAATCCACTTCATGCAACCAGGAATGTAACAGGTGTGGAATAGTTCCCTTTAGGATAGAATCACATGGAGTAAAAGGAATAACATTGTGTATGGGTCATTTTAATTAAGGTAAGTTATTTGTTTGGTCTTATAAACCGCCCATTTAAAAGCCTACCTCAGTTTTTAAAGAGCTCTTGTGAGTAAATAAATAAATTTAAAAAAAAAAACAGTGAACTATAAGCATTTCTATTCTCCCCATTATTTATGCACACCGAGGAAATAAATAACAAAAAGAACAGAAGAGAAGGTTAGGATCTTGGCTGTAAGGATGAGTAAATCCTGACTGTTTGACAGCGATTTCTAAAAACTAAGTGCAGCTACTGAAAATAATTTTCTTAGAAATGAGCTATGGTCTCATTGCAATGCAGAGAAGAGATGGCCTAGAAAGGAGGCCAGTCATTTGAAAAAATGGGCAGATCTTCACACAAAAGATGAGTCCAGGGTCAGGGAGGTGAAAGAACCAAACAGAAAAACAACCCACTTCTTCCATTTGTAATAGTCCCAGCCTAGGAAGGGAACTCGTTTCAGACACTGAAGCCAAAAAGACTTGAATTATTTAGCAATAGCACCACTTATTCCACATTCCCTCTTGGCTTACAAATAGGAGTCTGGTGATACCTAAAATTAACATTGAGGCTAAAACTCCTGGTTGGAAAGATTTAAAAGAGGAAGGCGGGCGTAGAAAAAGCAAAACCTATCTACCCCATCCTTAATTCATCAGGAAATTTGCGAATAAACGTTCTAAATTTGCAAGCAAAATTGGTGAAAGCATGGACTCGTTCGTTCTGCTTGGGTTATATTTCAATTGCCCCAAAGCAGGAGCCCCGGCCCTCAATTTTGAACCTGCCTGGCACTCCTGCGACCCTCGACCGCCCTGGCGAGTGATTTTGTTCTTTCCCTGGACTCATCAGCTGAGAAATGGAAAGAAAACCTGTTCCAACAGATGCAACCCAGAGACAAGAGAAATTAGAATAATTAAACGAACTTGAAAAGTTTGTAAAACCAGAGTTAAGTGGCCTTACCCCCGTGGTTGGTTGGTTGAAGGCAAGGCAACTGGATTCGGTCAAGAAAGCCTGACAAAGGGGAACTACTGTCATCTACGAAGTTTGCCTCTGTCAGGTCAACCACAGTCCCGGGATATCACCAGAGCTTTGTGAATCAATTACAAAACCAACGCTCTGGGTGCGGTTCTCTTTTTAACGAATTCGCTAGTTCTGGAGCTAATTGTCCTGGTCATCAGAGAATTCAAACGGACAAAAAGTATGCCTTCAGGTGAGCTGGCGGGGATGAGAACGCAGGTCTTCGCAGCTCCCAGACAGAGCCAGGGCTTTGCTTTTGTTCTGTTGTCACTCTCACCTCTGGTTTTCCCTTCGTGAACTTGGGTCGCACCTCCGTGCACCAGCACTGGGCTCAGAAGAACCTGGAGTCCGACAGACTCTAAGAAAACAGCCCAGCCCGCGCGATCCTCGTCCGGCTGCCCTCCGGGAGCTCGGGGAACGCTTAACTGGGCTTAGCCGCCTTCCCGGGAGGGTAAACCCTCAAGCTAACGGGGTTTGCTCAACCTACCGGGTGCCCGCGCGCGCAATCCTCGCATCTCCGCGGCTCCTGCCGCAGGTCGCAAGCTGCGGACCCGCGCGGAGGCGCCGCGACCTCGGGGTACAAGCCCTGCACGAAGGAGACCCGGAGGAGACACGTACCTGGTGGTAGGGGGTGTAGGCGGCTGTGAAGTAAGGCTGCGGAGGACCATAGACTTGGTACATAACATCCAGGCAGCTCATGGCTCCCCGCGGCAGAAACGGTCAAGTGCTTTATCAACTCTCGGCCGGTGGAGCTCGGGGATGCTGCATGGGTAGTGCTTGGGCCCCAGCTCCAGAGTCATCGGCGCTCGGCTGCTCGGGAGCCTGCTCGCGAGCTCGCTCTCCCCCCACCCCCGAAATTCCGGTCCCGTCCGCGCTCGGGGACAGAAGCGCCGGGGCGCCAGCCCGTGGGCATTTAAACCTTACGCCAGCCTGGCGTGCTGACGCCACTCCCCGGTGCAGGACAGGGCGGCGGGGGGAGCCGGGGGAGGGGATCCGCGAAGGGCGGGGACCCGGGGGCCAATGGGGAGCGAGGGACCAGGACCCAAGGGGCCGTGGGTGAGAGTTCCCGCGGCTCCCCTCCGCGGAGTCGGTGTCCAGGGCGTGCGGCTTCAGCGCAGCCCGGGGCGCCCCTGGGAGCTTGCACACCTCCAGGAGTAAGGAGGGCGCGAGGGCTAGAGAGAATGAGGTGGGAGAAGAGGTAAATGGGAGGCTTTACAGATGGGTATAGAAATAAGTTGATGCAGGTGGGGAAAGGTTTTGTGGGAGAGCTCCGGACCCACACTGGAGCCTTGAGAGTTTGTGTGCGTCTAGGGGTGTCGAGGGGGGTCAGATTCTCTGCTCTTTTTCCCGGTGTTGTCCCTGGAGGAACGGCGCTATCTCTAGGATTCCCCTAGGAGGGACCCGGGTATTCTTAGGGTATCTAGAGGTCGGGGGACTCCTACCCGGGCGAAGGAGCTCCCTCTGCGGGAGAGCGGCAGGGAGCTGAAGCCGGCAAATGGGGCCCTGCCCCGCCGCCTTCGCGCGCCTCGGGCGGCCGCTGCATTTCGATTCCTCTCGGCTGGGTGGGTTCCTTTAGCGTTTCTAGGGTCCCGCCGCTCCCCTTTCTCTTAGAAGCCCTCCACCCAAACCCGCTGGGTCCGCTTTGGTCGCGCCCTAACTCTGCCTCCTCGCTGTTCGAGTTGCTTTCGAGGAGTCGAGGAGGTCTTACTCAGCCCCCGGCTGCCCGGGTCACCTCGACCCGCCGGCGATCTTTTAAGTTTCGGTTACTTTTTGGGGGCAAGGGCTGGTTGGTTGCCTGAGGGGGCATCCTAGGAACCAAGAGAGGTCACAAACAGCTTTTTTTTTTTATTTTTTTATTTTTTTTATTTATAGAGGCATGTTTTATTTATTTATTTATTCATTTGTTTGTCCGTCTTGTTTATACATGCACTGGGCACAGTCAGAAGCACGGGAGGGTGAGAGAATTCACCAGAGCCAGAGCGGGGAGCAGAGCAGGCAGAAGGACCAAAGTACACTGCTGAGGGGAGCAGCGGGCTGCAGGAGAGGTCTGCACGCCATGCGGGACCCTCCGCTGGTGGCCGGGGAGCAGCCGGGGATCGAACCGGCGCCGCAGAGGTCGCCGGCAGCTTCGCAACCCAGCGCCCAACCGCTGCGCCACCGGGGAGGCCCACAAACAGCTTTTGCTGCCTCTGCAACCAGTAATAATGAAGCTGCGATTTTCTGTTTCGTTTTAGAGTAGCGAGAGAGGATGCCCTTCCTCTGTAAAATGCATCCTTTCTTCCTCGCCCTGAGAGCTTTCCAGGCTCCACCTGCCTGCTGAGATCCTTCCACCCTCCCCCAAGCAAACCTAGCCCCTAGGGCGGCCGTGTGAGGTAGGAGTGCTCCATCCCACCCCTGAGGAATGAATCGAGGTCGGGCACTCCGAGTGGCTGGTCAGGGGGTTGAAGAGGTGTTAGGGAAGTAGTTTTGGGCCAGGTTGGGGGGCGGGGGGTGGGCAGAGATCGGAAGCCCTGAATGCCCAGATACAAGGAAGAGCTTGGGTTACTAAGGCAAGCCAATTCTAGGTATTCCTCAGTTTAGATCCAACAAAAAGTTCTCTGGCTCTAAAGCTGTGAACAAACGCATTTAAGGTATAAAGATATATTCAAGTCTTTGAACAGTGACTATTTAAAGCGAAATTGTTTCCGCTGTGGATTTTGAGTTTTGTCCTATCCAATCCGGTTTATAAATGGAGTTCCTTTAACTACGATGCAATCTATTTTAATGAAAATTAAAAATAAAAGTAAAGACACCCCTCTAGTCCAGTTTTAAGCAAACCCTTTTGAAGGGCCTGTCTACCCAGCGGCTGAGCTCCTCTGGCCTGGGACAGACGTCGGTTCGCAGGTGAAGTGGAGCAACTCTCTCAGCCCGGTCGCGGTCCTTCCACCCTGGAAGTGCCAGAGGAGGGGAATAACCACCGGTCTGTATTTCCTCTGTGGGCAGAAGAGCCCAACTGTCACCCGAAGAGCCACAGCGCGTCCTTGTGGATCTGGGGGCGGGTGTGGTCGTGCGTGTCCCAATCTCGCTCTCTGCCGCCTAGCACCCAAGGTACTGGGCGCAGCTCCGACAACCCCTCTTCCCAACTCCCCACACCTCGCTAGGCCCTGGGTGGGTGGGTGGGGGGCGGGGCCATGGGCCCTCGGGTCAGCTCCAAGGACTCCGCCCGAGCCGATGCGCCCACGCAGCCACCGCACCACAGCTCGCCACCAGCAGCGCTCGCAAGGGAACACTCCCATTTTTTTCCCCCGCAGGTTTCAGGCTCCAATTTGGACACAGAGATTCTATTTTGATTTCCTAGGTTTAGGGTTCCTCCCGGGGCTGGGGCATCCACCGTGGCTCCAAGGCCGTCGTCAGTCTCCAGAGCGCGCTGCTTCGGGCGCAGTCCGGGTGCCGCCGCGGGGTCGGTGGCTGCAATCCCCAGCGGGGAAGGCCGGCACCGGGTAGCTCGTCTCGCGACTGCTGGGAAAATAGACTCTTGTCCTCACTAGCCGCCTCCGCCTATCCCCTGTGCCTGTTCACTTTGGCACTTTTATTTTACTTTGACCACGGCACTGGGAGAGCTTTGATTTTTCTGCAAATTCAGGAGCAAATAACGACAACCTCTCGGAATCCTATAAGGCCCAGAAAAATGTTATTTTTGGAGGGATTACAGGAGCGGCGATTTCCTACACTTCAAAGGAAGAAAATGCAGAGAATACGATGTCAGCTGCCTAGGGCCACTTTCTTAATCTCCTTTCACTTGAAATTTTTTTTTTTTTTGAACACTTCGTTGACGCTAAGTAGGTGTTCACTGGCCGCACAGGAATTTAAAGAAACACAGGGATTGGATTAGTGAGCATCAATATTGATTTTAGGCAGGAAAACCGTCCCCTTCCCCCAATCCAGAATGAAGTAAGAAATATAAATAGTCCACAGTTTTATAACATGCCCAAAGATTGGAGCACGTCCAGTCATTTTTTGTATACGTGAAAGACTGCATTTGCTGAAAGAGTAGTGTTTCTCAATCTGATGAGTTGTCCCTTGTTTCTATGCTGAAGCAGAGGTAAAGCAGAATTAAATTTAATCTCCTTAGCTCACCAGGACATTCAAACAATCAGGAATTAACACAGTCCAAAAAAAAAAAAAAAAAAAAAAAAAGTGAGGCTATGAGTGAGAGCCTTGGAAAGGAGTTACAGATTGAAAAAGAAAATTGGAGGTGGGAGCGAGTCTTTCTCCTCTCTCCTAAACTTTCCCTCCTTCATATTTTAAATACTATGTTCATGTATGTATAAGTTAACTTTAATTTCGGTATAATAACCATAACTTTCTGAATTTAGTTTTCTCTTGAATTTGTGTTGATGTTAATGTTTAGTCTGATGAGATATATGTTTAACATCACATCCCTCTTTTAAAATGAGTTTTTTAATGAGTTTCTACAAAATTCTCAATACAAAGGTATTGGTAGATAAGTTCAAGTCATAGGATCCAAATTTTTAAAAATGATAATATATAAATGACATACAAATGACAAAAAGAGAGATATGGAATAGATGTAAGTGAAATGTTTTGGCTTGTTACATTTTATGAGAGGAAAATTGAGGAAGGGATTTGCATTCTCTCATATGTACTTAGACACTGATTTAAATCAGAGAGCATGTATCAATGATTTTTTAATGGGAACTTGTTTTTCATCTTTTCTTGGCTGGGAAAAGTCACTCTACTGGCCTTTAATTTCTGACCGTAATGAAACTTTTTTTTCTTTAAAGACACATAGCTGTAGATAACAGCCTAGCAATTCACATATCTGTAAAATTTCTATTGTAATATAGAGGGACATAGAGGAATTTGCAGACTTAGAAGGTGGAAGTAGGCTGAAGGATTTAAACTGTTGACTTAGATATTTGACAGCATTGGTGTTGATCCATCCCCAAACTTATGTTTATAAACATCATTTCAACACGATGTTATAGGGATTAAAAGGAGACCACAGCAATAATAGACAGAAGGTGAAGATTTTCATCTGAGTATGATGTCCTGTCACATGCTTCAAGAGGTCTTGAAACAGCTTCTCAGAAACTCACTCATAAGCAGTTTCTCTTGGCATGCATGGAAGAATTTTTAGCACCACATGTTAGACTGGTATAGCCTGCCTTTAATTTCTTTGACTATTGTGACTGATTTTTAAACAAATTCATGATGTCATAATTAAGTTTCCCTATGCCATATAGATCAGGTATTATGAGGCTTAATGTTACACCAGGGCATTTAGCCTAGGTGGCTCCAAAGGAGACAGCATCTTTTGTTGTTGTTGTTGTTGTTGTTGTTGTTCTTAACTTCATGCTATAAATATTTTGCATCATATTTTAAAGTGAAAGTATAGCTGTTGATGAAATTTAAACTTCACCAGCTGGAATTATTTTTTAATCTTTCCTTATGAGAGACATATCAATTTGTAAAATAATATAACTTTTGACATTGCTGAAAAGAAATAAAGTTTTAAAATGTAAAATTTAAGGAATGATATATCATTTCCTGTGCCTCATGCAGGGTATTGCTGCATAGTGAATCTAAGTGGAAACTTAATGACTGTCCAGATAATTTGCAATGAAAATCAGTTATATATGACTATGGAAGAAATCAAAAGAAAACATTTAGGTCTCAAAGTGGGCTTTCACCAAAGAAACTTCTTCCCATATT